ATTTCAGCGTTTTAACATTTCCATAGTGAGATTTTCCCGTCTTTTTCTTTTTTAAAAATTTTTTTTTCCGTATTTTACCCAACTTTAAGAACGTTGCATTAGATTTTGATTTTTGTTTTTATTGTGGCCACATGATTATATAAACATTCATAAAGCACAACACACCCATTCTGATCAGGTTGTCCATAAGGGAAGATGTAATATGAATCCATGATTCAGAAGCTCTCATGGATTTTATGTAAAATATTTACATGCAGTTTGGTCAGAGCCTCCAGTGGACACATTCTCATGATCTCATCTGTTTCCTCTCCTTGGTAGGACTACATGAGGCAGGCGGGTGAAGTGACTTACGCTGACACCCACAAGGGCCGGAAGAATGAGGGGGTGATCGAGTTCAGGCTCTACTCTGATATGAAGAGAGCCCTGGAGAAGCTCGACGGCACAGAGGTGAACGGCAGAAAGATCCGGCTCATTGAGGACCGTCCTGGTGCCAGGCGCCGCCGCTCGTATTCTCGTAGCCGCAGCCGTTCCAGGTAAAAAAGGCACTGTTGTTTGGTATTATATTAGGAATTGCATGCTGCTGCAGTCGGATCCAAGATCGATAAATGGTATAATATTTTGTCAGGTCTCGCTCCAGGAGCCGCAGGTCTCGTAAGAGCCGCAGCCGCAGTGAGAGCAGCAGTCGCAGCCGCTCCCGCTCCAGGTGAGAAAAACTTTATTTTGCTGATAGATGTTCGATCGATTTGTCCTCTCACTAGCTGCCTTGAGACAGCTTGAGACTTTGTATCCAGTTCAGTTCATTTGTTTTTATAAGTATGTTACAGGAAACGTGTTACGCTCATTTATAGCTTTCATATTCGTAGACTCTACTAGAGTTACTTTGCATGATTCAAATCAAGGCTTATCTTTCTTTCTTATCCTCTTTGTTGTGACTTATTACTTCATCCTGTCTGTAAAAGCCGTTATAGCTCCTGTGCTCACAGCCAGAGCCGTGAGACTGAGATTGCCATATTAGGATAGATCTCTCGTTCTCACTGTAGAGGAAAGCTAGCTGAAAATAAGGGGTTGCGTTTACTTCTATCCTGACTTCATTAATACAGACTTTGTTTAAATATGACCATCCGTTACTGAAATCGTGGGTGTATATATAAAAATAAGGAATGCATAATGGGTTTAATAATACATGTACAAAAATGTAAATAAATCTTCAGGTCAAACTTTCAGTCTTTGTCATAAGACGATGACATCGCGCATTGGTTTGTAAAGTCGTGCTTAGCTGCAAACGGAGCGTTTTCAGGACTGCAACTGCAATTAGGACTGCATGCTGCCTGGCTAATCCTTTGTCATTAACAATAACAAAGGATGAGCAGATCCTGAATAATCCTCCTTTGTGATTTCTGATTCTTAGTTACTAAATATGACTGAGCGCATAAATTGATCATAAGTGTTTACTGAGGTTAGCGCTGAGGGCTGTCTTACTGTAGACTTCTATAGGGCAAGAAGTCTTTTATTTATTTTTTTTGTATGGTGGCCTTTAAAAAGCATGAAGACTACGTACTTTCTCTTTACTGTCTTCAGACAGGATGTAGAAATTTCTGTTTAAATTATGCCTCTCAGATGCTTTTAAAGCTGCTCACAATCATTCCATTTTTGTGTTGCGGAACATCAAAACAGAGAAAACAGACCTTAGAAAAACCCCTAAAATTCTAGTAATTTTACCCAGCTGTTCAGTGCTTTATGTTAATGAGAATTTTGGTGGATGGGTTGGTGCAATAAGACTTGGTTTGTCTTTTGTCCACAGAGCTGCTTCTCGCTCCCGCAGCCGATCTCGTAGCAAGAAGAATAAGGGAAAGGGCAAGAAGGAGGAGGAGGAGCGCAGCAACGGCGCTCAGAAGAACAAGGATCGCAGCCGGAGCCGCAGCCCCAAGAGTAAAAAGAGCAAGAAAGAGGGAAAAAGGGCAAGAAGGGGGAGTCCAGGTCCAGGTCTCGCTCTCGTTCTCGCTCCAGGTCTCGCTCTAGATCTCGTTCTGCATCTGGAGCTAAGGATCAGTCAAGGAAATCTGTCTCAAAGGGCCGGGAGGAGCCCAAGAGCGATGACGAGGGCGGCGAGCCTGAGCGAGGCTCACGCTCTCGTTCCCGTTCCCGTTCTCAGTCTCCTGAGGAGTCCAAATCCAGAGCCAGGTCTAAATCAAAGTCCAAATCCCGTTCCCCTCACCTGCCAAAGCCCGCTCCCGTTCCGCTCCGCCTCCAGATCGGAGTCCCGCTCTAAATCCCGCTCCCAGTCTCGTTCTCGTTCCCGTTCCCGCTCTTAGTTCAGATTTTGGACTGTTTGTCACAAGCCCTCCTCCCAGTGTCTCCCTCCTGCCCTCTATTTACATTCCCCGTGCCCGACAACACTATCCTCACCTCCTGTTTTTTGATAAGTAGCTGTAGAATACCAGGCGCTCATGCTCGATGTCTCTTATGCACATGCTACTCCATTTCATTTGCCCTTTACCAACATACGTTTTCATTAGTGGTGTTTGTAACAATAACAACAGGGTGCAATGTCAGTTTTATAAGTTCAAGCGAAGGTATGGTATTTGTCTTAGCCTTTTTTAATCAAATGTAGAAGCATACTGTTTTTGTCGATATGCTGGTTGGGAACACCTTCCCCACTTTTGTGAAATCCTTGTAATCTTTGTTTCACATTAAAAAAAAAAAAGCTTGTTCTGGACTTGTTAGTCATGTTTATGTTGGTAATAAATTCGGTGTGTGAGGGAAGCAGGTTGGCTCTTTTATTTATTTATTTATTTATTTTTTTTGCATGATGGTGTAAATATCACTGGGGTGAGTTTGTGTTTCTTTGTTTGCTCAGAAAACAGTTGGAACAGTTTTTAGAAAATGTTTTTGGGTTTTTTTTTTTTGTTTTGTTATCCTATGTTAACATAGGATTAATTTAAAAAAAAAAAAAAACAACAACAACTCATAAGGCAGTTTTATCTGTTTTTAAAAAGCCAAAGATGTGTTTTGTAAAGTAAAAGGCTGGTTTGACTGCTGGCAGGCTTCAGTTTCATAACGTAAATTCCTCTCAAACTCAGCTGATTACACGTTTTCGTCTAATAAACAATTAGTGGGTACATTTTTATTCACGCCAAGCTTAATATTACATTTAAATTTATAAAACTGATTCAAGCCACCTGTTTTCCACGTGACAGAAATTTAAGTAGGATAAATCAAAGAACCCTGTTACCGTGATTCCTTGGATGACATGATTCACGATACACTTAATATTTAATCATTTGTCTAAGACTTACTTTGAAGGTAGAACTGTAATTTGTCAGTAAGATCGCTGAAACAACAATTTAGTCCTTAGGCTCTGATTTTATCCATGATGTGAGAAGAAGAAAACATGCAGTACAAAGTCCCAATTTTTACTTTGTGTTTCACATCTTACAAAGCCATCCACTCCGTCTACCCTTTGGCTGACATCCCTGAGTTAAACTATAGCTGCTGGCAGAATTGGTCAAGTCAGTTTTCCTTAGGTTTCCAATGTGTATCTGCATGTGAGCCATAACAGGAGCTGGCTAAATAAATACTCTTCGCACACAGGAAAGAGAGTGTTTGAGAATCCACTAAGAATTATCAGAGTTCATAGAAGGAAAAACTGAGGTGACTCGGATCATAAGAATATTTTCCATTTTATGGCATAAAGTTTGGATATGTTCAGTGACAGATTCTCAACGTTGGGGTGTGAGGACTAGAAGGGTTTGGTTTACAAGACCTGTGCTGCCAAATGGTATGGGGACTGTAATTAATTTTAGATCAGTTTAATAGTTATTTGCACTACTGAGCACTCAAAACAAAAGTTATAGATTCCCATGATCAAGTTGCTTGTGCATGTGTGGCAGAAGGCTGTGTGCGTGAACCAGAGCAAGGTCAAGAAACAAAAGCCCTCACAGATGTTGCCTCAGATGCAGAAAACTAGATAACAGGTTAGAGGGAGGGAGGCAGGTGTATCGGTCCATCCCAATGTGAAGCTCCAGCTGAGGGAGGAGAGGAAGAGCAGAACTTTGCTACGTAAACAACGGCCGCTTCGCAATAGTTTTGACCAATCAGATAAACGCACATTCTCTATAAATCTCTCTCCCAGGAGTTGGCTACAGCAGACTGCTGCTGACTGGTTTTATAACCAGAGGGAGATCCATGTATTATTCTTTGAACTGCTTGAATCATTAAATCTAACTTGAATTGGACCAGAGCTGACCACACAACAGCAGCAATAAACCTTTCTTATCAAGTTCTGGTGTGGAGAAAATATTTTTCTATAAAGATTAAACTTTATTAAATAATTTAAGTTTCACCACAATTCAGTCCATATTAGTCATTTACATTTTTTAATACTTTAGTTTGACCTAAATCACAGAAAGCTTTATTAAAGGCAGGACATGTGCTGGATTATTGATCCAGCATGAACCAGATGATAAGCATTACAAATATTTGTGTTTAACTTTATAGGCTCTTTATTCCATTTTTAAATGTTATTACAACCATGGCAATTTATATTTTTGTCATGAAATGCATTAAACAAGTGTCTAAGATGTGCTTTTTGTAATCCCATCTAAAGCAAATTGTGGTTTTAACACAGAAGACTCACATCAACATCTGCTGTCATGTGATTAAGGCGCCCAGTGTGAATGCATTCATTATTTCCTTGGTCTTATGTTTTCCTTTGAGGGGAATTTTTAATTTTTTATGATGTTCTATGAAAGGTTTGCAGCACAAACAGGCAGACTTGGCCGAGGATACTAAATGTCCCATTAAACCCCAAATTAGTTGATTCTGCTTTGGACAAATTACAAAAACCCCAAAGCATGTTCAACAGTTTACTGTTCATTTGAGGCCGCAGAAACAAACAAACAAACAAAGAGTCCCTTTCTTTGCTCTGAGAGCTGTGAATGCTACAATCTATGCAACCTGTGGTGAAAGCTACGTCTTTATGTAAATACAGTCCTATGATGTGCATTTTGTATAAAATACTTTTAATTACATATGAACAGTCATTGAATTACAAACTACATGGGCAGAACTTCCTCTTTTCTGTCACCCATTACTTCAGTCCTCATCCTTTCACACAGCAGAGCACAGCTCCTCTATCTCCCTGCATCAGGCTGACAGCATGCAGGCTGGTAAACAAAGCAGGCAGATACAAGTCGTGCTAGCCAACTTCAGTCATCGTCCTCTTCCTCGGAGGAAGAGCGCATCACGCCTCTGCTGTCGTCTCTGTAACACCGGGCCAGCAGGCGCAGCTGCTCCAGGGCCTCCTGGTAGTCTGACACTTCAGGCCCTTGAGAAAGGAAGCTGGGGCAACACGGCGGATGTCGAAAGCACTCACACCGCGATGCAGCTCGGAGAGCCAGGGGTCGAGCCCAGGACCCGACTGGAGGGAAGTCATGACGGGTACGGAGGAGACGACACGGGGCGTACCTGCAGAGAAAGATCATTCATGAAAACCTATAATAGAACGGCTCTGCGTTACACACAGACAAAAACAGAAAAACACTCACTGCCAGGCGGGGCGGCTGGCCCTCCAGGAAGCCCTGAGCACCGAGGGATTGACTGAATATCTGCGGGAAAGGTGGTGCCAGCTCACTGGGAGTAGAAACCAGCTGCAGAGCCCTGAGACAGGGATGACAAGATGATGGAGAGAGCAAGGGTGAGAGATGAGAATTTGTTAGGAAAAAAAAGAAATAGCAAGTGTCACGTGTCAGTGCAGAGACTCACAGAGGAGCTGAAGGATAGAAGGATCTGATGTAGGAAGCCAGGACGTCCTCTCCGCTGTGGAGACTGTGCAGAGGAGTGGGCGGTTTAGTTCCTGCAGCCAGCGAGCTGGTGAAAAGAGAATAAAGGGGGGGAGCAAGTTGTTTATTCAAAAATGTTGACAAAACTGTCATTCACAACCTTAGCTGAAGTTTAACCTAAAGTCATTAGCATAAAGACACCAGAGCAACCTCCCCGAAGAGAGTCCAGTAACCATCACAGTGGCAGACATCCAAGAACGGGTTTCCAGTATGAAGAGCTGGACAACACCTGTTATCAGGTACCCTGCTGAGGCGCCTGTATGCAGTAAGGGTCCTAGGCTAGACCCCTAATGCTAAATAAGCCTCCAGTATGAAGAGTTGGACATGAGGGAGAGAGATAAATATGAATGCTACGGTAAGGGGACCCAGGACAACGTTCAGGGGGAGATATCCACCAGAGTGGAGAAAGGCACTAATCAATGCAGCACAGGAACAAGCTCTGAGGCTGGGGTCTATCACACACCAGCTATCATAGATGAAGAAGGTCAGTGGTAATTTCGTAGGGCAGAAGCAAACTTAAACTAAAGAGTCAGAGTAGAATATAACTGACTCAATAACTTCATTCTGACCTGATGAGTTTCTGGCCTTCGAAGCCTTTGAGCGTCGCCCACTGGCCGTAGCATCGGCCGTCTCCTGCTTCAGCGCACCCAGACAGAGGCCTCCACGGCAGTACGTCGGTGTATGTGCTCAGGGCGTCAGGGAGAGAGGAGCCGTGCATCATGGGAAAGGGGACGGCACCATAAGCAGCCACGACCTGTGATTTAAACATTGGTTACCATAATCTCAGGCATCTCCACAGATAAATAACCTAGCTGCAACATCCAGCTAGCTTGTGAGACTTCATGTCCTTTATATACCTATAGAGCTTCGAGCTGGTTCCTTTCATGACTTGATTAAAAAAATAAAATAATATTTGCTGAAGGGGAGGAAAAAACCCCCAAATAAACGAACAATTGTTAAATACCTTCCTCCCTGATACAGCCAAGTCATCTGCCAACTGCCACATGGGGACGCTGTTATTTCTCAGCCTGTAAGGTGCAGTAAGGGTGTCCAATGCCAAAGCCAGGACAGAACTGGAGTGGTACCACAGTGAGGGCTGGCACAGAAGACAGACAGATACATGTTTATATATAATCCTGCATACCTGCACATGTAAACTGTGTTTCTATGAGTTGAATTATCTCTTTAATCAGAGCTGTGCCAAAGTTTAAAGTTTGAGTGCTTACATTTGGATAGAACATAAAATAAGTCGGTACAAGGTCTTAAAATAATTGCTTGTTGACCAAAGGACACAATAATAGTACTGCAGCCAGTCTCACATCATAACTGAGGTGGGTGAACGTCGTG